ATCAGCGGTAATTTTTAGCTACCAAATTACCAAAACAAACAAAAAACAAAGTTCACAAAAACTGCATACCGAAAAATTTTCTAAAGATTCTGAATAAAAAGTTTTGAAATTTTAATGAAAACTTTTTATGTTTGATTCATTTTTATGAATTTTGTACAAAGTTTGCAAGAATGATTTATATGGTTTTTATTATAGGATGAGCTATATTTTAAATGAAAAGTAACGAAAAAGAGTTATCATGGAAAACATTTTGAATATTGTGAAAAAACTAAATTACGAATACTTCTGGGAGTGACTGTATGTACATATACTTACGGACAACAAATAATCCCTGCACCTATATTTTGTCCACAATGACCCACATCCTTGCTGGTTAGTTGCATCGCGTCCATAGTGAGTTGCAAGTGCGGACAATTTGCAACTACTGCGCATATGCCTTCATAATTATCCGTTTGGCAGGAGTCGTTTTCTGGAATGCAATTAAAATTGTTACATCAATTTTTTTCCAATTTTTAAAAGCTTTAAAATATTTGTCCTCGGTTATTTGATAACATATCACATGTTCTGTAGAAGCCTTTTGGATTTAGGTTAGCTCATGACGATCTTTAGGGAAGCGAGGTTTATCATAGAGGTCATTTAAGAGAAATTGATTTTCATACACTTTTCTTTTAAAACCATACAATCGGTTCTTCTAAAAAAGCCTACAATTTTAAAATCACATTCACTTAAATATTACCTTCCTGTGTTCTTCCTTGCAGGGTATAGGTGGTGAATAACAGCAACAACAAAAAGGTATCGCGACAATTTTTCATAGACATTTTTAATGATTACAAACTTTAGTAACTAATTTCCGTTCAAGCTTTTCTCTGAGACTTTTTATAACTTCATTTGGCTATTACTAATTTTCAACTAAACATTCGATCGATGTTTTATATAAAATTCTGAAGCGTGAAAGTGTTATGCTAAACAGTTGATGACTATTTCAAATTGATTTAATTTTTAAGAATTGTTGTCGCACATACTTTTTCCATTCCTAAGAATTCAAAAAGCGTCACTTTGTTATACATAATATATGTAACCCTTGAGGTCAGCTGATTTAGTTAAGTGATATTTTGACCACTTTTGAATATTTTTCTTTTGATTATTTAATGTTTAATATCTTTTTATAAAAGTCTAGCATATTGATAACCAGCGCCATATAAATCAATGTATATTTCAAAAATTTAAAAAAAAATTATAAAAATTCTACGAACTTTACCAATTACACCCAAAAATTGCAAAATTCAGAAATTTTCGAGCATACTTTAGGTATATGGAAGAAAATGCACAACTTGTCAGCTAAAAAAATTTTTGAAAATCAACATCTAAAATTTTTCTACTTTAAAATTGGCAAAGGTAATAATAATAATAAAAACAAACAAAGGTAAACTGAAGCAGAAAATGATAAACATAAAAGTAAAAATAAACAAAAAAGTTTACTTTGCCATCTCTGAATATTACCAGGGATGATGAAATCTATTCGAATTTAAATTAATTTTTCTTTGATTTTTTTTTTAATACAATTTACTTTTTTGTCAATTTTTCAAAAACAAACATTTAGTTATATGCGTTCTTAGAAAAATAATTTCCTCAACTATGAACACATCTATGTATTGTAGTACAAAGATTGCTTATCATTAAAAAATTCAATGAAATTCATAGCAGACAATGCATTTAGTTGTGAAAGCTATGAGCTGCAGTAGAGATGCAAACGCAAGCTTTACTTACATATGTACGTGTTTTGACTACATACATAAATAGAGTGCACATATCGCACACGATCTTCAAAAGTGACGCAACTCAAAATTTGGAATTTTTAAAATTATGCACTAAAAATATACACAGAGCTTTTATTTGCGTTTCAGCAGCTTTTGTTATAAATTGTAAAGGTAAAGTCTTGCTTGCCCAAATGATTGATTAGCTTGTGCTAAGAAATAGTTTTTCGTGTAATTTTGAGTTGTGTCTCTTTTGAAGACGGTGTGCCATATACATATTAAGTATAATAAAGCAACGCTTTTTGAATTCTTAGGAAGCATGTGCGACAACAATTCTTAAAAATTAAACCAATTTAAGCTTGAGAATTTTATATGAAAATCGATCGAGTTTAGTTGAAAATTAGTAAGAGACACGTAAAGTTGCAAAGCGTCTCAGAGTTTGTAATCATTAAAAATGTCTATAAGATATTGTCGCAATAACTTTTTGTTGTTGCTGTTATTCGCCTATATCCAACAAGGAAGAACACAATCGGAAGGTGAATATTTAAGTGAATGTGACTTTAAAATTTAGGTTTTTTTAGAAGAACCGTAAGTATGTTTTTAGAAGAAAGGTGTATGAAAATCAATTGCTCTCAAAATGACCTCTATGACAAAGTATGTACGTTTGAAGAAACGTCATGCTGACTTAATAAAATTCGTCAAGCATTTGAGATCGTGTGAAATAGTGCATGTTTGTATGCGTATATAGTAGATTTATGTACAATCTATGGTGCACTAGTTCAGAGGCGAATCCAGAGTGAAATTTGGGGTGCCTAACTTCGCTTCCCTAAAGATCGTCATGAGCTATTTATTACTAAAAGAATCGCATACGAAGTGGAAATGCGCCAGTCCCTATATAGGACCAAGGTGGGATATGAGAAGATAGCAAAAGCTCCACGCGTTAAGAAAAACGCCAATATCACTAGTTACTGGGCTACTTACAAGCCCTATGGAGAGACGCGTATGTAGAATGGTGATCCTCCCTTGCAATACAGCTAACCTAAATCTAAAAAGTTCCCGAAGAACCTGCGATAAGCGATCAAATAACCGAGGACAAATATTTAAAGTTTTTAAAATTGGAAAAAGATTTATGTAACAATTTTATTTACATTCCAGAAAACGATTCCTGCCAAACGGATAATTATGAAGGCATATGCACAGTAGTTGCAAATTGTCCGCACTTGCAACCCACTATGGACGCAATGCAACTTACTAGCAAGGATGTGGGTCATTGTGGATACAATATACGTGAAGAGATTATTTGTTGTCCGTAAGTATACATATGTAAATGTAGGTTAGAGAGGTCCATAAATACGCCGGAAAATCAACTTTTTGGAATTTTTTGCTGCCACCCCCCAAGGAGTATAAAAATGGCAAAAAAGGAGAACCATTTTTGTTTTTTTTAAATCGGTTAAGAAATCGCGATGACGAAGCTTTGAACTTTTCCATACATTCTACTATAGGGAAAAATAATTTTTTCCTAACATTGCTATAAAATCATTTATAGTAAATATTTTGTTATTAAATAACAATATTTCCTCACAGAAATCTGCCAATAACAGAACTATGATGCAAATTTAACTCTAAAATTTGACTAAACATTTTTGCAAACGTTCGAGTTGTGATTACGAAGGCAAAAACAAAAGTTCAGATTATCCCTTATAAAAAAGTAGTTAGTAAAATTTTAAAGGAAATATTTTACTGAATCAAAAAATATTTATTTTTATCGATTTTATGGCAATTCTACGAAAAAACTAATTTGCGGCATATAAAACTTATGAAACTAATCCATTCGGAAATAAATACGGATCTCCTTATTTTTGATATTCTTCAGTTCTGGGGGCTTGCAGAAAAAAAAAATTGGGCCACCTTAATGTAGATGCATACCAAACGCCGAACTTTTCTTTTACAAATAAATATTTTTCGACGCAGGAACAGTGTAGCTGCTAG